CCAACAGCGTACGGAGATGGAGAACCGGGAGCGACACTCTGGCGAAGCTGAGACTTGGGAAGGGTCAGTACATAATCGCGAGTGTCATGAACACATGAAACTCATACATGAATTCCATCTGCACCGAGAAGCAGGTCGGCCTTGAAAATACGACCATCTTCGAGGGTCACTGATGGATACGCTCCATCAAGTTCTACGTTGATGATCTTGCATTGAGTATGGAGAGTTGCGGTCTCCAGGGCGCGCTTTTTGAGATGATTGTGTAAATCAACCCGATGCACGAGGTAGAACTCCTCGATGCAAGTTAGACTTGGAGAATAATCATGGAATATCCCTCATGCACTCACTGCTTGCCAGAGATGGCGTACATCATCGAACTCTTTCTTAGATATCAAGTCTCCCTCATACCCGTATCGGTGCATCTAAAAGACCAAGCAATCAGCGTCATGAAGGATTCGTTGACTGCGATGACAGACTTCATGTATCAAGGTACCTCCGAAATCGAGAGGATCAATGCCCATCCAGCGGAGTAGTGCCGTGCAATTTGGTGGCAAATGGATCGCAGCACCGGCTTCTCTCAAAAACGCCGACTTTTCCAACATCTGAAGTGGCGGTCAACATGACAAGAGTTCGCTGAGTTTTGGGATCTTACCACAACGCGGTGACCTTGTATGCCAAGAGCAATAGCTGCGGAGAGGCCAGCGATCCCGGCTCCGACAACGAGGACATCGAGAGGCTTGTCTGTCACGGTCATGACTCAAAGGTTTATGGACTGCAAATATCAATCAAGCGACAAAATTCTTTGATAGATTTATAGTATTGCTTTTGTCGGGTACCTTTCCGAATCTAGTCATCTCCGAGCGGTATCTCCGAGAAAAGTGAGGCAAAACATAATAACAGGGAGTTCAAATTAGATGAAACTCCATAATTGACTTATTTTGGGCAAGATCTACCTGTCTTCGGCCTATATATGGCATGGCATGGTCTCTCAATTCTGGGCCCTTGATGTATAAGCGGAAGTGGCATGGATTTCCATGTCCGCCTAGGAGTGCCAGTGGGATCACCAGAATTGATACCCTGTGCTCCGCAGTGCATCCACACCATTTTCTGTATCAGACTCAATTACATCGGTCTTCTTGGTGAAAGATACGCATTGAGCCCCAAAACGATGGAACTCGTGTATCAAATTTGACTTACATTTGATCAATCGTTCCTATATACATGTAGTCTTTTTATGAAATGTCAAACGTCAAGTTCATCTAGTTCATCTCCACGGTCATTGAACTTTGTGATCGCAAAATTCACAACCCATGAACACAGTCCTTTCAATTGGAGTTTCGTAGTATGGTTGGATGTCCACAAATCCATATTTTCGATATAGTCGCTGTGCCGCAGTCATCTCGGGCAGAGTGTCCAGTCGGATACCACGATAACCAAGAGCCCTAGCTTGTGCAAGGATGGCCGCTACAAGCTTTTCACCCAAGCGTTTTCCTCGTGCTTCCTCGAGGACATAGAGACGCTTCATTTCACACCAGCCATCGGGACTACGCCGCAATGCGACACATCCGAGGGCAGGGTATCGCGGGGTAGAGGAATCAGCCGATGAATCACCGTTGCGACCTAATTGAGCCTGACCTCGTGCGATCAATAGCGCGCCTCCCTGGGACGAAGCATATTTTCCCGGGAGTGAATCCAGCTCCTCTTGGAATGACTGGAAGCTCAGGTCGATTTTGAGCGAGGCGGCGTACCCGGAAAACAAAACGAGAATGGCTTCCGCGTCTTCGGGGAACTTCGCTGGAGTTATTTGTATTTTCATGGTGGGAGCTGAAGTGAAGAAGGGAGGTGGAAGCCGTGAGGAAACATGAAAATGCCCCGCGAGATCGGCGAACTTTTCTTTCCCCGAAGTGTGGCCAACTGATATTTCGCTCAGGCTTTTAAGATATTAAATAATATTGTGTTCATTTGAACCGCGTTCAAATGTCATCCAATGGTGTACAATTACACTACACAAGATTCTCTTTGGCCCATTCCTCCGCTGTTTGTGCGGTGATGTCCTGCTTGAAATTCCATGTCTTTCCCAAATCCCATGCAACACCACGTCCTTGACCAAAAACAAGTTGGTATTTCAATAATCCATTGCCTGGATCCTGAGCAAGGGCAGCTTGGGCATCTGTTACCATAAGAACCCTTTTCTTGAACGGATTCTGTGCCAGTCTTCCACCAACTGTGCTAACTCCCCATAAGTGATCGTATCACCAACAAAATTATCGATGTAATCAGCAAGTTTGCGCCGTTGAAGCCTAGCGACCCGTCCGCTATGTTTGCAATACATGAGTTGCATGCTTGCACCCCACAGCCCATAATGGAGAATGTTTGGGACACTCGTAGTCCACACTTTGTTATGGAAATCTTGCCTACAGTTCTCGATGCAGACAGGCTGGAAGAAACACTTGAATGAGCACACAAATTCAATGAACAAATAATGAGGACAGATCCATCTAGCATTTTGCCTCAGCTTATCTTCCACTCACTGAACTAAAGAAGGTTGATATGAAGGCAATATATGGGAGTAATTACGAGACGTTAAGGCGCATCAAGCAGCAGTGCGATGCAGTTAATGTGTTCAAGCATGCTTTGGTTCAGTTGTGATCAATATGAGGTGAATTTCCAGTACCCTGAGATTACATACAATATTATACTCCCGAATCTATTTGTGGCACAGTCCGCCAACTCCTTTAAGGTACAAAATCAAATAAAACCGCCCCAGTAAAGAAAAACGCCAGTCCACGAACGCCAAGTATCAACAATTATCGGGTATATACTCTTCGAATCACTGGTAGACGACAGAGAATTCAGTGTCACTGAGAATCTTGACATGAGCCTTAACATTGCCATTCTGCTGGATATCCAGAATAGCGGCATTGTTGACACCGTAGTCGGCACCATCAGCCTTGGCCTGGGCACCAGTGAAATCTACCTTGCCAAAGTCGGCGAGGGGAACCATGGTGCTGCCGGAGTTAAAGTCCTCAACGATCCATTCGGCGTTCTGGCCGCCGAGAGTGGCAGAGGTGGAGGGCGCATTCAGAGACTTTGTCACGCTCTGACCAGTGGACTTATTCTCAAGAATGGCAACACCCTTGCTGGATGAAGACGATTCAACTTTGGCGACAATCACATCGCCAGCTGTCAGGTCGAGGTCGAAGTTTTCGGCGTTCTGGGGGTACCACTCATACCAGGCATCGTAGGTCTTCTCACCATTCTGAATGTAGGCATCGATACCGGTCTGCAGAATTGCCTGGGTGTAGGTATCCCCGTCAATACCAACCCAGGCGGACACAGCCTGCATATCATCAGAGTCATCGGTGGCTGTTGGCTCGGGGACAGTGAAGGTAGCTGAGACCGCAGTGTAGGTAGCGCTGGCAGGAGGCTTCTCGCGCACAACACCGGCCCAGTTCTTGCTGTACTCAACATTGGCTCCTTCGGATCCCTCCTTGAGCAGAACGCCATTCCTCTCGGACGGGTTCGACTGGTGTGAAAGGACGCCGCGGGCCCGCAGGCGATCAGCCAGGCCACTTCGGGGGGCTGCAAGAGATGTGCCTGCTAGAACAGCGGTGGTCAGGATCGTGGTGGTGAACTTCATGATGGCGGTGGTAGGCGTAGATTAGGATTGAGCCAGGAAGTATACAACGATAAGGCACGGGATCGCAACGTGAGATACCTGGCGGGGTTGATAGATGGCCACAATAGTACTTATATCTTATTGTTCAGATGAATTGCATGCGGCACATCATCACTCTCCCCCCGCATGGGGAAATAGTGCTCGTGGTGTAGTAGTGGCCCCGATGACCTGAGCACCGGCTGAGACATCGTCTTGGACCCGCAGAGTGGAGAGATGGAGAGAGACAAAAAGCATGTTTCTTCAGGTGTTGGGGTGACACTGTAAGGAGCAGCATGCTTATTGGTGTTCCTGCAGGTGTTTCTGTGTTGATCTTCCTCCTTTTCCGCGCGTCGAGCATCACGTTATCGTCATGAGAACATCAAACAGCAGTCAACTGAGTCGTTAAGAGCTTGCGTGTCTGCTAGTAACATTCCTGGGGACAGTAACATCTGACAGTCGCGACGGATCGGTCTAAGATCGGCGATGTCAGATCCCGATGTCTGAATGCCACGAGATGCGCCTAAATTCAAGTTTCACCCATTGTCTTTGAGTTGGACAACGAACATGGTGTATAAACCCAGTGTTTCATGTGGTTCAGAATGTTCCTTGTATAGCTGCAGACCTTAAAAGATCAACTTCAAGTGGGCGAACAACAAAATTGCATGCGTTGACACTCCGGGCACGAATATTGTACTCGGACACGCAAGAACACGCGAATAGGACATGCCGTGGTCACTCGACGTGGACAGGCAGATCTCACTTTCACGAGACTCATGGAAGCGCGCATCTCACGACGTCACCGCGTCGAAAAAGTTAGTCCACATACCAGCCAAGGGATGGCAACAGGTTCGCATTCCTCGGCCGCCACACTCCGCTGTGGTTGGCTTGTTTCTAAAATCATCTTCCGCGAACAGAATACCCTGTTAGCAGAGTTCTTCGGGCGTTGGGTCACTGTCTTAATTCATTGACTGCCTGAGTTGAACTGCATAGTCCTTTCGTGCAGATCGGAACAGGTGGGCGTGTCGTTAAAAGCCAATCTTGCATCTGGTGATCGACAAAAGGATCTGCAGATCTTACTCTTATCAATTGGTTTGTGAGTGGTTTGTCTCGTCCTTGTCGCATGGCATGGAGTCAACTAAGAATGGTCAGGCCACATGCCGGCACACAAAGGAGGTCAAATAACGCTCTTTTCCACGAGAAACATGATCAAGGATTGGTTGAGAATACATATTCAGCATGACATTAACATCACATGCGAAAGCACAATGCTGGAAGGTGGGCATAGGTGCGAGGAAGAAATTAAACGAAATCATCAAGGGGCAGTCATTAAACACGTCCAACGTCACATAGGCAGGCGACGCATCTCCTCAAGCGACCAGAATTTGCGCATGTTCTCTGCGCGTAGAGTCTGCACCTCCTGATCCAAATGCGTCCACAGGACCTCTCCAAATCCTTCCATCAAACGTTTCACCTCTTCACGGCGCATGTCTTCCTCGCCAGAACGACAATCTCCAAGGTACTTCTCAAGCTTCTCAAGTCCAGCATGAATCTGCTTGTGCTGGCTCAACAGTTCAAGCTCTTTCCGGAATTCGGGCATCTTCTTTGCCAGCACGGGAAAAATATGTTGTTCTTCGATAGAGTGGTGGAAATCCAACTGCGAGCAGAACTGCAGCCCCATCATGATCATTTGACGAGCCGACAGACCACCGGGTCGCTTTCCAGTACTGTTACAAGCCTCCCACAGTTGGTTCCATGTTAAACGGAAATGGCTATGCTGGGTTGGAGTTAGTGATCTTGGCTCTGGGTGTGTATATTGGGATTGATAAGCTTACAAATGCTTCCATTTGTTCTGACATTCGGTTATAAGTTCGGAAATCGCTAGGGGACAGGGCCGGCAGAGGCTCGCTGGAGTCAGATGCTGGAGGCATGTTCTTCTTGGAAACCATTGTGTCTGAAAAGCGTCGCGGGTAGAAAAACTGTCTGATCTGGGGGACAAAAGATGGCCGCAAAATGAATCGTGGGCTCACAGGAATCCGACAATGCATCCGGCAGTTGGACTTGCAATCACTGCCGACTAGAAGTAAACGAAATGTTAGTGGGAGTGGAAAAGGACAGGGAATTCGGGGTGATGAGAAAACAGAGATTTCTGATTCGACGGAAGTGCTGGTGCCTCTGTCAGCATTTCTTTCAGCCGTTTAGAAAGTCTTGGAGTTATCTCTACAGAGACTGGCTAGGCGTCCTGATTTCAAGCTGGTGATTATATACCGTATACTGAGATCAATTGCGGATTTGAATTGGTCAAGATGGGGAAGTAAACGTGATAATATCATTAGACTATGGACAGTAAAGTCTACGCATACAGGAATGTTCCAGATCTTCAATGGATGTTTGCCACCTCGGACGAACCGTTGGACAAAAATCTAGTACTCACTGGCTAAAGGGAGAAAACTCCTTTCAATATAAGCACTTCTTCGGCACAACCTCGGCCATGGAAGGGCCGGATCGCAATTTGACATCCGTGCTGGAAAGCTGCGTCGAGAGAGAGGTTAGAATGCACATGGAAGAAGAAGAAAAAAAGTATGTTATTATCAAGACACGTCGCGGCACCGGTCGCGGTCGAAAATAGTAAAACAAGGTGCCGCCGGGAGGGGGAATCGAATATTAAAAAGTAAAGGGTCGTAACGCCGTGGGTATGAGAATTGAATCAAAGCTCGGGGTGTTCGAGCTGCTTGGGCGGCGGACGGAAGTTGCCATTAAGGAGTTCCTTGAAGGCAAGATCGAACCGAGCACCCATCATCCAAGCTGTGAAGATCATGAGACCAGCGACGATAGCAACGATGGTACCCATCAGAGCCATCATGAAGTAAATGTCCTGCTTGTTTTCGGCATCCTCTGCCTTCTTTTTGGCCTCGGCGGCAGTGAGCTCGCCAGTGACCTTCCGCTGAGCGGCCTCAGCAGACTGCGACGGGAAGATAGTCTCAATGAACTTCTCGATCTTGCCGCAGGTGATGCTGATCTTAAGGAAGTTGGGGTCCTTGGGGGTGTTCTTCTTGTGAATAGCGCGGGTGAGTCTGCGGAAAGTGTCACACAGGACCTGCAGGTTCTGGGTTGACTGGTGCATCAACTCACAGGCATCGCCCTTGGTGATCTTGATGTTCCGCTTGAAGATATCAGGGTTGCGGAAACACAACTCAAGAGTGGCAATAGCCATGGCTTGCGGAATTGCACAGAAGTTGAAAACACTCTGCTCACGCAAGCCAGCGAGGTAAAACAGACACTCTTCGCCATGCTCCAGGGCGTTCAGGACCATCTCGGAGCCACAGTTGAGAGCGGCATCCAAGTTTTCAGGCTTGAAGAGATCCTCGAAGTTGTCGACGTGCTTGGACCAGATTTCCTTGGGCCAGAAGCGTCGATCATCGTCAAAGTCCTCGCGGATGTCACGGATGATGTTGGTCTTCTGCAGGAAGAGTCCCATCGACTTGTGCAACCTGGGACGCTTCAATAGAGCAGGGTTACCGAACTGGGCTTCGACAAATAGACGGGTAAGACCCTCGCCGACCAGACCGGCGACATAGTGGCAGTACAAGTCGTACTCCTCAATGGTCTTGACACTGGCATCGTCCTTCTCTGCTTTCACGCAGTAGTCGGCCATGCCGTTGCCCATCTTGTCAGTGATGTCCTTGATGATGGCCTGATATTCAGGTTTCATATTTTTGAACTCAGTAACGACGCAGGCGAACTGAACCAGCAGTTCGCGATCCTTCTCCTCAGGACGGTTGCCGGTAAAGTTCCAGCCGTCTTGTGTTAGGATATTCTTGAAGTCCCGCAGGAGAGGCTCCTTGGTCTTCAAGTCAATAGAGGTGTCATCCTCGATGGTATCCAGCCCACGGAGAACCAAGTAAAAAATGCAGATAGGAAGCAACAGCTCAGGATGTAACTCTTTAATCACGGCACTGAAGCTACGACTCGTCTTATCCAGGAACTTGAAGCAAAGCTTTTGGTTTTCCGTCTCGTTCTTTTCATTACGCTCGTGGGGCGGGTTGTGCCAGACTTTCCTGTGACGTGGCTAATTAGCTTGGCTTGAGAAATGGTGGATGAACTCAAGAACATACCATTGGAGGATAGACCTCAATTGGAGGGGGTGAAAAGTATAGTAGACAGCATTGCCGAGGAGACCCATGTTGGGGAGAGGGACGTGCAGACGTCCAAGGGGCTCTTACAGAGAATGAATGGCAGAGTCCAATATTAAAGAAGTAAAAGAAAAACAGGGAAAATTAGGAAAAAAGTAAAAGAGGATTGGGGAAGAAGAAAAGGGAAAAGGGGAGAAGCCGCGAAATTAAATGCAGAGTTCGCTGCCACGTGACCCGGGACAAACCATGCATACAACCCCCACATGATATCAGCGAAAAATATCACCGCCTAAACACTTGGCTTCACTTTACTTTCCTCTACTTTGAGCTCGCAGAGATGGTCGCGGATACGAGCTACTACGATGCCCTCGGCGTGCCGCCCACGGCCACCGAACTCGAAATCAAGAAGGCCTACCGCAAGCTAGCCATCGTCACTCACCCTGGTAGGGACTGTTTTGATCTCGACTGTCGTGACATCTCTGACCGTTCATTGCAGACAAGAACCCCAACGATGAAACCGCACATGAACGCTTCCAGGCCGTATGACTACGAATCTACAGAGATGGATAACAACGAAACTAACACATTCATGCTTTAGATTGGCGAAGCCTACCAAGTTCTGAGCAACGAAGATCTACGGAAGCGATATGACAAGTTCGGCAAGGAAGAGTCTGTGCCTGGTGGTGGTTTCGGTTGGTCTACCCTATGGATAATACTGGTGCCGGCGCCGACGTTTCTGACCTCCTTTGTACAGAGGATCCATCTGAGTTCTTCAGCATGATTTTTGGTGGTGAGGCTTTCGTTGATCTTATCGGCGAGATCTCTCTCATGAAGGACCTAACTGCAACCATGGACATCACCATGCAGGAGATGGAGGAGGAAGAATTGGCCCAATCGGCGGAGGAGAAGCTGCACATCCATGACGAGGAGCTGAAGGCTGCAGGAGGCGATCCAGCCACGGCTTCCGAAACCCATAATTCCGCGACTGGGGCAGCAGCTGCATCCGCTGGTCCCGCCGAGAAACGAACTTCTGAGCAGAGCTCTGGCACCAGCACCCCACGACGGAATTTCGGCCAGCAGGCACTGATGGAGAAGTCCGAGGAAGAGGCGCGCATGGAGGCAGCTGGTCTGTCCCAGGAGGAGAAAGAGCTGCGCAAGAAGGAAAAGAAGAAGGGCCTGTCCCGGGAGCAGCAGGAGCGCCTGACGGCTTTCGAGGAAGAGCGGAAAAAGGCTCGCGAGGAGCGGGTCAACACTCTGGCCAACAAGCTCATTGACCGACTGAGCGTGTGGACCGAGACCGACAAGGGTAAGGATGTATCTCATGCCTTTGAAGAGAAGATCCGCCTAGAAGTCGAGAACCTGAAGATGGAATCATTCGGTCTGGAGATCCTCCACGCCGTTGGTCAGACATACGTTCAGAAGGGTACTTCCTTCCTCAAGTCACAGAAGTTCCTTGGTATTTCTGGTTTCTTCTCTCGCCTGAAAGACAAGGGCACTCTTGCCAAGGAGACTTGGACTACTATTTCCACGGCCATTGATGCGAAGATGACCATGGAAGAGATGGCCAAGATGGAAGAACGAGGTGGTGAAGACTGGACCGATGAGAAGAAGGCCGAGTACGAGAAGAAGGTTACTGGCAAGATTCTTGCGGCCGCTTGGCGTGGCAGCAAGTTTGAGATCCAGAGTGTCTTGCGTGATGTTTGTGACCAAATTTTGGACACCAAGCGAACTCGACTGGAGAAGTGCGTTGAGCGAGCGCACGCGCTGGTCATTGCCGGAAACATATATGCCAAGGCATGCTTATATCTATTCTGTTCAGAATGCACCACGCTAACAACCTTTATAGGCCGCACGCGATCCCGAGGAGGAGGGCGATTACATGGCCTTTGAAGAACTGATGGCCGAGGCCATGAGCAAGAAGGGCAAGAATGAGAAAAAGAAGAAGTCTAAGCACGGCCACGAGGAGGGACACGAGACCGTGGAGGAGGCCACCGCTTAATTGCACCTTCAGTCTCTGTTTCTTTGTAGTCTCATTGCGTGCCTGGTATTGCTTTGCAGCCGGTTTTTATATCCTGGACATACATGTTTGTTTTTCATTTCACTTTTTTTCTTGAGCTTAGTCCCTTGTTTACAGCGACCGGAGGTCGCCTTCCGACACGCGCATAGTTTGTTCAAGCGATAGATTGGCCTACATACCTTCCGTGGCCCTTCGTCTCAGCAGGACAGGGACTTGCTGACCATTACACGGACATAGACGCAGCTTTATAATCACAGAAAAACACGTCGGCATGACATACTTCTATGTTAGTATAAATAACGATCCATTAGTGATGGGCTATCATAGGTACTTATGTCCCATGTATATATCGATGGCCTACCCAGCCATGAGTCTTTCGACTTCCATCAGCCAGCTATTTTATCCAACAAGCCCCTTCCCCCCTTTTTCTTTTTCTGTCTTTTTTTTTTTTTTTGGCAAACTCTCCGTGCCTCATTGTGTCTTCGTCTGATCCAATAAATTGTAGCCCAGACTCTTAATTTTGACGAACCAAGGAAGGTCCAATAACTCTGACAAGAAGCTCAAGAGTTATTACGCTCTGAAACCGTGCCCAGACCCGCCAGAACATTCGGACAAAGACCATCGTCGATTCCTCGTACTTATATGAGTTGAACCTCTTCATTTTGAAGTCTTTTAGCAGGCCCTCAATCATAGCGTCGATGTCATCCGTTGCTTGCTCAAGTCAGCCCGCAATTTTGGGAGTGACGGTCATCTGTGTTCCTTTCGCCAAAAGGTGGGAGGACAATGAGAATGAAGAAGAGCAGAATCGGCATTCTTTAAAGATCAAAAAACTTGGCCTTACTCCTCTACAGGAGATGAATTTAGGGGTTTAAACCCCCTAAGAGATAAATTTAGGAACCGGCGCTTGCGCTGGCTTCTTCGTAATTAGTTAATTGCAAATGACGTCGACAGAAACCGGCAACGCTTCTTGGCTTTCAGGTGCTTCTGATATAAAGTTTGGATAGTATCCTCCAGCGTCCATTCTCGATGAGAGTCGTTGGCCCTTAGCTCGAGGAGGACATCGTGATTCCCCTGCAATCAGTCATCGCGCTCGAAGGCAAAAGCGTATCTCTAGAATCCCCTGTATTATCTGATTCTCAGTAAACAAGTAAAGCCGTTGTGCGGGTGTAGTTATTTCCCCAACAGGCCGCTGCATGTTGTATTGCTGCTTGAAGTGAAGGGACGTGTGTCTTGAGATAATAGGGACAAGTGTTGGGTTTTGGGGGGTGAGGTAGGGGATATAGATGAAGGAGTTCTTAGGGTTGACATTTTGACGTAGATATAAAACGGTTGAACGAAGTCTTGATCAAAGTGTCATGGAAAGAGATAATCGAAAAATAGATGGTAGAGAGCAAATGAATGAGTCAACAAGCCGACTCCGAAAAGAGAAATGAAAGTTTGATTAGAAATAGCCAAAAGGGGTCGTATAATTGCCATAGGAAGTGAAGTCAGAGTGAGATAAGTAGATAACTGGAATGTCTAGATGTTCGCCTAGCCTGGCTCGTAGGGATATAGTCTATTCATACAAATACCTTTGTTGATCAACAAAGTGGGAAATTGTAGATCGGGAGATAAATAGCAGGTATGCATGCTTAGATTCATAGCAACAGAAATAAATATCAATAACATATTAGTACTATAAGTGATATCAGAAACGATGAAACATGCAAATATTACCATTTTCCATCGTCAAAACCATTACTACTCCTTGAGCGTATAACATAAGAGAGATCCAGTGCCGTCGGGATCAATCAAACAGGACTGATCTGCGCCGTCCGACCTGTGTTGTTATCATGAACGCTATCGCCGTTGAGCTCGGCGCTATGAACGGCCGACGGCGAGGAGATACTATGCGATTGGCTGCTCGGCTGGTTATGTAGACCCTCAGCATCCCGAGCTGACATTTCAGGAACCACAGGGGTCGTACTCATCGGCACATCATGAGCATGCCCACTCGTTTGGGCCCCCTCAACACCCTTGTCCTTTCTCAAAGACTGGTAGCCAGCCCAGTCAGAAGCCATCACACCACACATCGCAAGAACTGTAAACACCACAAGGGCAACGAAGAGCAACCTATATGTGGAGTGATTCATTAGTCGGGTATTGAAGAAGGCTACAACAGTCAGAGAAACATACCAAAGAAGCACACCAAATGCGAGAATAGCATTAAAGTAAGGTGAGTCGCTGGTTCCTCCACCAAGCAGAGAGGCGAGATCGGCGAAGCAAGCCAGCCAAAAAACCATGGTGATAGAGTAAACACCCACAAAACACGAGGCGAGGATGGTATTCAGCTTTGCAGTAACAAAGCCTTTCTTCGCGAAGTGCCATGGCAGCACCAAAGCCGCGGCCGTCACTAGGATCGTCCAACAGGCACTGAATACCAGGAATGCGAGAATGGCTGGGGCCTTTACATTCACTGTTGTGTAGGAATAGCCCGAGTAGGCGCTCCAGGTCGCGACCTCGCGGGTCCCGGTATATGCGGAAGTTAAGAAAGCTGACAGTCCCAGCTCCACGATGGCAAAGGCCAAGGAGGTGCCCAAGAGGGCGTATAAGACGATATTGAGCGCCAGCATTATGCAGTCGATGTACCCGACTTTGAAGCGCAAAAGAATCAAAACAGCGAGAGAAATCTCAGCGACCTCAAGGGGGAGTCCCTTGCGCTTTAAGATGTCTTCCACGTGCGGCTCAAGATAGATCGCGCTCGTAATCGAGGAGAGCTAACTAGCGCCCAGCCTTATTTAGCTATCACGACCTCGTTGGGCTGGCGCTTGGCGCCACACAACCGTGAAGGATCCATCCACTCGTGTCGGATACGAACCGCCACATTGCCCTGGCGCGCACCCTGGCCCAAATCGGTGCAAGGTAAGCGAGTAAGTGTTTCGGGCCGGGGCATATCGGTGTGCAGCTGAAGCTCTTCATCGGTGCAGCAAGGGATCCTGCCAGCGGTGCGTTGACGCCACCTGCAGGAGCTCCAATGTGATGAGTCGAAATCGGTGTCACGAGCGTCTTGCATTGCAGGACTCCTCATTTCTCCTTCGAAGCAGTTCCCAGTTCCCCAAGGTCTATACGAGGGCATTCTCGGGGCTTTTCGTATAGCTTGGTCCCTCGTTGTTGAGATCGACACGTCACTTACTTCTTTCGAGTAACAACGATCGACACAGATCTTACCTTGATAAGAAGCGCAGCCTGTCCATTCCCGAAATGGAGTTGTTGTCGTCTCCAACTGTCTTGGCAGGAAACCGTCGGTCTACGGAGAAAGGGAGCCTCCGGACTATAACGTTCGTCCGTCGCAACCAAGCATTTCTCCACCTTCAAAGGAGGATCCCGCGACAGGTTACTCTAGTTGGCCAAGATCATGATCCTCTGCGTCACGCATGCGGAGAAGGACCGTACTGTAGCCTCCGGGCCCCTATACTAGGAATGGATCCAGCCGATCCTTTCCCCTCAGTCGCAACTCATATAACACCGCCGGTCTTTCAAATGGCGTTTCGATTCAGTCAGTCGCTCTATGGCTTTTCACGCTCTGAACATGGCGTCTGTACATTCTGTGATCGCCCTCTTGGCCCTGGCGAGCGGGAGTGCCGCAATGGCTTCCTCTAGCTCAGTCGCTGCTGGTCCTACCGGCTTGTCGTATCCTTCGGGGTTCGACATGAAAGCCAGTTGGGCCAATCTCAGCCCCTACGCCGACGCCTTAGACTTTAATGTCTCTAAGGGCTTTCCTTCAGAATGTGAACTTTCACAGGTGCATGTGCTCCACCGCCATGCGCAGCGGTATCCGACACAGTGGCCGCTGGATGGCGGGGGAATGGAGGCATTTGCTCAGAAACTGGCCAACTATACAAAGAGGCACCCATCCAAGAAGATTGGCACCGGTCCTCTTGCCTTTTTGAACGATTGGGAGTATATGCTTGGCTTGAACACACTTCTTCCCACCGGCGCCGCCACTGAAGCCACTTCCGGCGCACTATTCTGGAGCCAGTACGGCCGGTTGCTTTACCGTGCAGACCGTGGAGATGCTTCTTGGAATGCATCGCTGAATGTGTATTCCAATGGCACATCACGACCGAAACCCACTTTCCGGACGACATCCTACCCCCGGATCTTGGAGAGTGCTCGCTGGTGGCTAAGCGGTTTCTTTGGCAATACCGGAGCCAATAGCTCGTATTCCGAGTACAACTTGGTCATCATCCCCGAGGTTGATGATTTCAACAACACCCTTTCGGCGACCGATTCCTGCCCCAAAGGCACAGAGCCGGGTGACAATGCTGCCGAAGCTTTTGCCCCGACTCTCGTTAAGGACGCCCATAAGCGCTTCGCTGTATACTTGCCGGAAGATCTAAAGCTTGATACTATTGACATCGTTGCCATGTTTAACATGTGCCCGTACGAGTATGCGACTTTGGGCCAATCTTCCTTCTGTGCGCTCTTTACCGAGAAGGAATGGCGCGACTTTGAATATTTTGCCGACCTCCAATTCTATGGCAACTATGGTTTTGGCTCCCCTAGTGGTCGCGCCCAGGGGATTGGCTATGTTCAGGAGCTAGCTGCACGCCTGCAGTCAAAGGTAATCATGAGCAGCGACAGCAGCATCAATTATACCTACGATGACAACACCAAGACCTTCCCGCTCGATCAGCCGGTGTATATGGATATGTCTCATGACGATATAATTGTCTCTGTACTGACAGCTCTGGGCCTGGATTACTTCAAGTATAGTCCTCATGGAATGCCTACATCAGTCTCGCAAGCCCCACGTCGCACCTTCAACCTGAATCAATTGACCCCCTTCGGTGCCCGCCTGTTTTCCGAGGTCTGGACCTGCCCGAAAGATATCTCGTTTAAGAATCTCCAACCGCAGAAGTACAAGAATCCAGATCTATCGTCTGAGCCCAATACTACCGATTATATCCGTTTTGTGCTGAACAACGCACCGGTACCTGTGGATGGCCTCACTGCCTGCGATGGTTCAGTGAATGGTTTCTGCCCTGTCGAAAAGTTCCTCAGTTCCATTCCAGACCTGAACAAGGAGGCTATGTACCAGGAGGCCTGCTTTGGTGATTATAATATTACCAGCCAGGTTGGCAATGGACAGCCTCGGAATCCTTGAGCCAGAGAGTTGGGTCTTTGGCAGAGTGTGTGTCTGGTCTGACTGTATTCATACTCAGTGATATGAAACATGATTAGTTTATTTTATATACCTTATTGCACATATCTACACAGGTGTACTTCAATTTTCTCCATGACATATATTAAGCGCAACAGGCTGTGGTATTTAGGCGGGGTCCACAGTGCACGATGCATTTAGTTGATACAATAGCTCCAGCTAGGGGATTCCATTGGATATTACGGTACCCATCATATTTATAATAACACCTACCCAAGCACAAGCTGACTACTTCGACTCCTGACGTTTCTTATAACGGCGCCACTGTTCACAGGTCAATAATCTGGCGTCAAATCAAGATCACGGTGTAGACTCACAGCTGGATTGAAGAAATAAACAGGGATTCCAACTAGGAATATAGCCCCAGTCACTGCAGCCAAAATACCCATCGCAGTAGGATAGCTATACTTGGCTACCATGGGAGTCAGACCATAGCTGACACCAAACGCGATGATGTTTTTGGTCCCAACGACAGCCACCAATGCAGGTCCGGGGTTCTTCTCCCAGGCCTCCGCTGCGAATGAAGTTGACAAAATCAGAACAGAGACAAAGGTCACCTGGAAAAGCGTCCATCCCATGTATGGCCCTCCCCAAGTGGCATTGTTGTCGGCAGTGAAACCGTAGAGGAGTAATGATACAACGGCAAGAATACCAGGGAATATCAGCAGAATCAACCGATGTTCTGGGATATGAACACCACCAGAGCGCTTGGCCATTCGGAGAATAAACCAGTCACCGAAAACTCCAGCATATAGCATACCCCCGAAGCCACCGAATACACCACCCAGGTTGATCAGACCGACACTCTTGGCTGGCCAACCATAGCTTTGAAGCACAGCGTCATACGTCAGCGAGATGCCGATAGAAGACCCCAGCACCACTGAAGATAGAAGAGTTGCATATAGAATGCCCGGGGAAGAGAAAGCCTCGAACATATGGAACCAAGCCATCAGCACAGTTCGAACGGGATTCTTGGTGGGAGGCCCAACCGGGCTAAGCATCTGCACATACGTTTTCTTTGGGCGCGCTGCATCCGGGATTATCGAATCATCTTCTGCTTCTTGCATTTGCAGACAGGCCCGAGCTTGAGCTCCGGTAAGCACTTGAGTGACCCCAAACCCATCAGTGATGACCAGTTGGCTATTTAGAATTTGGGCACGTCGCTTGTATCTTGTCTCGAAGCAACTCAATGCAACAATAACAAGTCCCACTCCGACGGCAATGACATAGACCCAATAGAACCAGCGCCATCCCAGAGCAGCGGCCTCATACGAACTGGCCAGATTCAAGCAGCTTGTCAATACATTCTGCGTTGCCCAATATGCACCAAATACTTTCCCACGCTGATGCACAAAAGTGACCTCAGATAGCATGAGAGGGAGCAGCTGTGGAAACATTGCATTTAGCTTCTCCTTCGAAATGTCGGAATTGAGAGGACAACTAACCGATTCCGTGGCACCCGTGGCGAGTCCTTGAAGGATGCGAAGACCAAGATGCTGCTCAAATGTCTGTGATAGAGCGCAACCGATCGTCGACCCCAGAAGCACAACAATCGAGACGATCGTCGCTGGTCGACGACCGTATACCAGACCCAACGGAAGGATCAGATAATTCCCTACCAGTCAATCAAAGTTAAGTCACAGGACTTGCAACCTATGATTAGACTACTCACCAATACCGACAAACAACGACGGAAATGTCGCCAGCCAGACAATTTGCGTCGAGCTGTGACCTTGAGGGATATAGAGCTCGAAGAAAACGCCGAGGATGGCGCCCAATCCCCCAACTACCGACAAGGACATGACCGCTGAATTGTCTGAGTAGTATTCACATGGGTAGTATTCACATGGGGAAACAAGGAGGGACTTACAGAACCAGCAGCAACTAAAAATGACACCTAACTTCTCCCACTTGGTGAACTTAAGCGGATCGTTGGGATCGCTGCTAGGCACAGGCAGTCGCTGGACTTCTCCCCTTTCATCAACCAGTACCTCACCCGTCCTGGTCTTTTTAACCTCAACATCTTCGAGGTATTCAATTCTGGCCTTTTGTGCTACAGAAGCCATGTCGGTTATGTGGTATGTCTGTAATGGCACTCTTAGGGGAAGTGGGAATTCAGAAAGCGAGAGATAAGTCTCCCTTTTTCTTCAGCACAGTCCCCTCACATTTCGATGGGCATAGTTTTAGTGGCTTTTAGAGAATGTCAAGCAAGACTGGAGCTGGTCAATCTCAACTTCCCACAATTGCCGAGGGTCTTTTACCCTGGGAAATTTCCCCCACAATCCGACGGCTTTAGGGTTTCGCTCATTGGCTCGAGAGATATGTTCGGCAAATGGGGAGTGGAATTTATACGAGGATTTATAGTTGGTTGAATTAATTGAATCGTTTAGTTGGCTGGTAAATTGTACATGGTTGTTATCTCTTGTAAATTATGGAAGATTCCCCAAATCCTCAATCAGCTCACACAAGTTTTGGATCATTGGTGGCAGACGGTCCTCCGGAAAAGGACAAGGACAATTCCCTTCAAAGACCTGCCGAGCAATAACCATGACTGAGCGTGGCTTGCTCAGTTCACAGAACATTGGAGTATCCCCATCGGGACCACCCCGGGTCATTGTCAGTCCTGGGCGACCAATACCATGACCCAAGAACGCTTTGGTCACCTTGTCTTCTGGCCCATCAAGTAAAACACATGGTGGCAAGTCTGTTTCACTCATGGGTGTCTTGGCTTCAAGCTGCTTTAACTCTCCGCACTGGAGTAGCCCGTATACCCACAAAACCAACGCAGCGTGGTAGATAGCCATAGCATCGAATCCACGTAGCTGATACGTATTAACAGCTCGTGCAGCACGCAAAGCCTGACCAGCATGCCAGATACTCGTCCGTGCTTCTTTTGTGTGACTCCAGTCTCGAAGACGAGGGTATGCTCGGCGAGCATCCAGGTCCCCGAGTTTACCAACAAATCGTTGGATGGCATCAATATCAATGTGGAGGTACATCAGTACAAACTCGTTGAGTAATGTTGTCACAGGTGGAGGCGTCGGTGGATTCTCAGATATGGACTTCAAGGTGGTATAACTTGAACGGTCAGCATCAAAGTCACAGAGGACATGGTAAACCTACAGATCATCTTGTCTGCTTTGTAGCCACAGTCGAGCCATAGCACGGGTGCTAGGCTGCGATCCCTGGGATAAAATCAGCTGTTGGCGAGTTTCCCACACCTGGCTGGCCATTCCCTGTAACAATGCAGTTCTTGCAATATCAAAGTCCATCTCAATGGGGATATGTGTCATTAATGACGGATCAGATAATAAGTCTCGGAGACTGAAGTCCGACACCTCTACAACACGGTACTTTGTATTCCAAAGATCTCTCCATGCAGTAGCTGTAGGTGCGAGCCAGAGATCTCTTGCAGCAGGGAAGGGTAATGTTAACTCCGTATATGAAGTAAGAGCCGGGCGGTTCATAGCCATGGCAACCTCTATATCGTGACCAAATAGATGGTAAGCCAATCTAGTTCTGTTAGCCTCAATACCTGACTAGTTAGAGATTGATACGTACCGCTTAAGTGATTCTTGTCTTACCCACTCATGCCAGACATTATTCAAAGACTGGTCGTCCTCACCAGCCAAATAAGGTGTTATGACCGAGTATATAGATCTGTCAAATGCCGCAGCACGTCGGAAAGCCTGTAAAGGTCAACTCAACCCATGGAGTTTGTTCTTCAGTGTCCATACAGTACACAGTGGTTGTAGATAGCTTTCGGCTATTTGCATCTTTCGTCTATAGCCACAGAAGATGCCAATATCTAACCAGAGCATCGATGCTTGTAGCCACTGCAGATCGCGCAAAACACTGTTATCATCCTCGACCTAATGGAATAAACAAACGCTTAGCCAAGAGTCGACTATTTTGGAAAGTGAAAGTCATACAAGTTGAGCCAGGGATACTCTGGTGATTTCCTGTAGAACGATCCCAGTTTTGTTGATAGACGTCAATCCGCAGCATACACATCCTGCTGCGACCAAGCCAGTCAACAATTCAGGTCTCAACTTCTGATCGTAAAACGTATATGGATGGATCCATGCATCGGTCTCTGTTCGCTTTCCAATGCCGACTTTGATCAGCGTATCCAGGTACTCAGCAGAAGGGAAAGAGGAAACTGAAAGTCGAGAACCGGCCGTTCGAACGACCAATTTGAAGATATCATCTCGTGAGTGCATGGATAGTTTCCCTGGTATTTGCAGAACCTCGAGTCGGTTTCGATGCTTCGGTGGGATAGTGTCCCCATCTCGGAGAGGAATCCTTCTCTCCTCGCTGAACGCATGTTGGTTCTTTTCTGGCACCCAAAGCCTACAAAATTTAGACCTGAACAAATTAATACAATCCGGAAAACTTTCACATACCAGAAAGACTTTCGGAAGGCAGCTGCTCGCCTGCTTGCCGACTCATGATCACCAAGTTGAGAATTCTGTAGATCTTCAGATCCGCAAATGGAGGGTCCAGTATCCAGTATTCGATCAAGGTCAGGCATGAAATTTGTATCAAAAAGATCGTTTTCGGGGGAAATGAAATCGGTATCTAGCATGAAGTCGAATACGCCACGAGGCTGCTGTGTTTCTTGTGGGATTTCCATTTCGACATTTGGTAGCATAACCTGCTCAAAAAAGGCTGGGAAATTGTTCAGGTTAGGATATACCGGCACAGTATCTGGAAGAAATGGATCTAGGGTAAGCTCTTGTGCGAAATTGGAGTCGTAAATTCCATGGCCGCCTGAGTACTCCGTTGCAGGGGGTACACTCAAATCCGAGAGACTCGAATCCGGCGTTGTAGTTATCGGGGAGAATTGAGGAAGTGAAGCATGATCCTCATTGCTGAGTCGAGGGCGCTTTGCAACGCATTCAATCTGCTTTGATTGGCATCTCTGAAACAATTAACAAGCGGCCTAGTCGAGATCTAAAAGCCCTTACTTGACACGGTCTTTCGTTGTCGCAACTCAATTTAGCGGTCGCGCAAGCGTCGCAAGCCTTGATTGCTCGCTCTCGTGCGCGGCGAGGTGTTTTCTTGCCCTCGTTCGCATCTTTTTCGTGAACTGCTTGGTGTCGCTGAAGGACATCTCTGACTTCATGAGCTCAGCCAACTGGTCTCTAGAACATCCCATGCTCACCGGCGATTAAATCCGCGCTGGCAAATCCGACATTGATAGGTTCTTTCGTTGCGATCTCAAAGTTTCGTCAGCCAGATATCTCCCGAGGTAATAGAGACACTCACGAGAATCTAAATGACGCGCCAAATGATCTGGTCGTTCGTACCCTTTGCCGCAGTGTGGGCAGTGATGGGTGCCATTCTTACCCCGTGAGGAGTGTCGTGGAGTTTGAACGTCGGACATGAGGCATCTTGAGAGGATTGAGGAAGTTGAGAGCCGTTTATATGGGCGATCGGGACGCGGTTCTTTTGCGGGCCACTTTGGCCCGTTCAACATCCAATAGGGTCAAAGCTATATGCGACTGACTGCAGTCTTTACTCCACATTTGCGGGGAAATGTTGGCTTTATAAGGTCAGAAATGCGTAGACAGTTGAGGTTCGGTATTTGGACAGTCCCTAGAGTCTTCAAAGGGGGAATACAGATTACTTTGTTCACACCTCTCTAAGTGAGTGAGATGTTCACACTTGTAAGAGCCTCTGAACGATTCACTCAAAAAATATCATATTCTTACTATTCTCTAAGCTGTTGCCATTCTTTGGCCCCGTCATATCTGCAGTTGAAGTCCATGAACTCGTCCGGTTTCCTAAAGAATTAGTCTCTACTCCGCCAAGGGTCTTGCTCATACATACATTGTAACTACTTTATTTCCCTGGGCTGTTGCTGGCTTGGCTGCTTGCCGACTATATGCCTGGATCAGACTTGCACGTTTGTAGCGTACCTGGAAGATATCCTGCATTTGTTTAGCCACTTGTTCTTTGTTTTGTCTGTGTTCCAGTCATTCTATTGAATGTCGTACCTCGAGTGCTTTTGTAAGGACTTCAGCAGATGGTGGTTCAATGATCTCATCAAAGAATGCTCCAAGAGCTTCAGAGTCCTCGATTGCTTGACTGGCCCCCTGACCTTGCGTTGGTAACATGGCATGTGCGGCATCTCCAATGATGATTACACGGCCACGATGCCACGTTTTCAAAGGATCCTGTACTTGTGAGCTACGTAAGACAAATTTGATAGGAGAGCCTACAAGATCCCGTAGTTGCCAAAGGCCCAGATCGGCGGAGTGTCTTTTGTGAATGGTAAGCAGTCTTCTAAGAAAGATGCGCATGGCCTTGGAATCATACTTGAAGATATTTTTGACCCAGGACGGAAAGTCGGCAAAAGTCTGCATCATCTTTTCCAAGTCTCCCTCTGCAACCCAAGACTGTTTTGCATGGGGATCCTCGTTCATTTGGTCTATGTCCATTGTTAGCATTACCCTGAAAAGATGGGTTTGTGCATACCATCCGGCACTAAAGCGACAATCCCATAAACCTCGCCTTGTCTTCCGGGTCCCATGATGAGACGACAGTCGTGAGCGACGATCATCGAGGTGAAAGGCTCTCGGGGATTGATCTTAGCACAAAATTCAGGTTCTTCCTTTTCAAGGATTTCTGTTGGCATCTAGAGAATCAGCTGGGCTGTTTATAGGATGAGCAATGCAACGAACCATAAGTCGATATGCTATTAAAGATTAGCTAAACCAATCACCGATATATTGTTCTAGTCAGTCTCACCAGAATGGCCGGTCGGCATAGGACTAGGTGCTTCCTCGAGTACATGTTTTCGAAGAACGCTATGGCTAAGCAACTCCTATGTTAGCAATTAGTACTTGTTCAAAAGAACTCACACCTTACATTCCATCTGCACCAATAATAACGTCTCCTTCGACTATTTCACCTCCGTCCAGAGTGACTGTTCCTTTCAGTACGTCACAGTCAACAACCCTCGACGTGACTCGCACAATGGCTGGATCTCCTGCCCGCATGGGTGAGACAGCTGCACTTTTCAGTGCCTCATGGAGATCTCTCCGATGAAACAAGAGACGCTCCGCACCATACTTTTTCTTTGTCAGCAAAGGTATAGTGTTGACCAGCTTTCCTTCTGTGTTGTATATCCGGAATCCTTCATCCACCATTTGCCGCGCCTCCAAGAGTTCCTGGCTCAGATTCCACTTGGACTCCATAATCCTCGAAGCATTCGGCTGCAAAGAAATCAAAGCGCCAATCTCCTTGTTCAAGCCCGATTGTTCGAGGATTGTGATATGTCTGTTGGCTCCACGGAGGGCAATGGCAGCCGTGAAGCCTGCGATGCCACCGCCCACGATGACGATGCGAAACGGCGCCATGATTCAAATGTTTACAGTAGAACTTCCAAGTTTCTTACCTGATTATCTACTATTTCACCAAGAAAGTTCAAGGTTGACTTCCCCCACCTCCACTTTCCGAACACCGGGGGAACGCATAGTTGAGAAGCCGAGGGCCAATCGAAGTAATCAAACCTCACTTGATGATTTGCTGAATATTTTATGTGGGCAGTCATGAAAAAACTAGTATTTCTTGAAAGCTGTTAACCATTTAAGGAGCTGGTACGCTGGAGTTTTACGGCTCACTTTTGTATCTACTCAGCATGTCTACTACAACAGCCGTTGTTGAGACCGCCCAGGTCAATCCAAACTTGCATGGCTTTGGTCGCATGCGTGTTGATGGCACTGATAGGCCCTTTGGTGATTTCAGAGACGATTTGACCAGAGATGGGTTCGCTATCGTCAAAGGCGCTATTCCCAAAGAAAAGGCTATGAAGTATGCCGATGAGATGTTCTCCTGGCTAGAGGGCTTGTAAGTTATACTTGGACAATGCTCTTCCTAGGTCGAACTGACCAGAGAATCATAGTGAACTGGGATTTGACCGAAAGGATTTGGCTACTGCGCACAAAGACAAGCTTCCCTTGATCAATGAGAAGGGCATGTGTCTAAACTACGCACTCCCTCATGAGAACTTTGTCTGGGGCGTTCGAAGTGAGCCGGGAGTTGTCAGTGCCTTCGAGAAGATCTATGACGATGAGGATCTTATTGTGTCTTTCGATGCCATCAACTTCCAATTTCCCAAGTATGTGAACATTCTCATATATTTTCGTTACAGCCCTCAGTATTCTAATGTCATGTCAGTCGCACCGACATTGCTCCCAACAAGCCATGGCCACACCAGGATCAGGACCCTGAAAAGCATGGATTCCGCTGCATGCAAGGACTGGTCAACCTGCTTCCCAATGGCCCAGAAGACGGCGGACTGATTGTGTGTCGTGGCGGCCACCTTTTATCCGAACAATTCCACAAAGAAATGGCCGACGAAGAAAGAATCCCCGCCTGGACCCCAGAATGGTATGGCTTCACCGAGCGCGGCATGAAATGGCTGGATGACCACGGCTGCAAGTGGGAAAAGCTCTGCGCTGAACCCGGTGATCTTCTTCTCTGGGACTCACGCACGCCTCACTACAACCTGAGTCCAAAGAACAGCCAGCCACGTTTTGCCATCTATACCTGCTTTATGCCTGTTGCAGATGCGACCCAGGAGGACCTGCTGCGCAAGAAAGATGCCTTTGATCGTCGTGTTGGTACTACGCACTGGCCGAATGCGAAGCATACTGGGTCCAATGTCGCCCAGCGTGATGGGGAAGATGATCCTCATAATCGCTTGAAGCCACTAGTAGACCCAGTTTTGAGTGAGAGGGCTTTCAAGCTCACTGGGATTCCTTATATTAAGGCGCAGAATGCCTAGTTTGTGAGCGCATGCTTGATACAGTTCATAGTTCATGATACTGTTTGGTGTGATTTATGCAATGCATTCCAGTCAGAATGAGTTATTCCATACCTATTCAATTATCATTGTATAGTCGAACATCTGTAGAAAGATGAGGCTTTTCTTGGTTTCATGTGATGCTGATCCCCCTCATCCACCAACACCCCATCCTGCGTTTGTGATGATCCCCGGCATCTCTGTGGTCCGACACTCTATTTCGATACTGTTATGCTGCTGCTATTTGACTAAGGTCGTATGACACCAGTTCATCCACTTCCAGCCGATATACCGAGGATGTGAATCCTTATGCTGTCATTATGCTTCGTATGTCGATATCTGGTTGGTCGATCCTACTTCACAGTTCCAGAATAACAGTTTCGGGGTCGAATGATTCGGATTTGGTTGAAAACCTCGGCTATATGTCTTGTCATTCCACTCAGGATAGCATTCATTCGTCCTTGTGCCAGGACTGCCCTATACAGCAGACCTAGTTGTCGCATTCGCCTGTCATGATACCATATTGTGCAGTTAGGCTCTGGGACTTCCCCGCGCGGGACAGTGATTGTTCCTCGGTCCGCTCGTTCTTTTAGATGAGCCACTAAATGGGCTTATTCTCTTTGGCTATCTTCATTGCCATGGATATGCTGCATAGCTAGTGGTAGAATCGGTTGGGAAATTGTGAGCATGGAACATATAAAATAGTCAAGCCATGGGTCTCAAAAGTTATTCAAATAAATACTACTTTCACTGCAGTATCCCATATTTTATACTTGTTCCATCGGAGTCTTGAAGATATGGCATCGCCCTCTATGTTCCGAACACTGGCAGATGCACCTTTGCTCGGTGCTGTATTGCGATCCTCGCCATCGGAGCAGATACTATGTGTCTTATTAGGAGTAGTCGCATATCTAGTGCTAGCATCTTCCCTTCGATTCCAACGGCGACGCATTCTACACCGAAAGTATAGTTACTATTCGACAAGAGAATCAATGGGCCAAATGACCGACCAAGATGCTTGGGCTATCCAAAAGACCATCATGCAGACCGAGTTTCCCTTCATCATTCTCAAGTCACTCCAATTTGCACTCTTCCGTGTATGTTATGACGATGGCATACGGCATTATAGTATAGCTAACGTGGACAGACATATGGAATCCCAACCATCTCCACCCTTCTTCTAAAAACTTCCCAATTCTCCGACTCTGCCACTTCATTCAAAAGATATGCCGACACGGGAACATTAATCGGCGAGTTCATGGCCTTTGACCCAAGCTCAGAACGGGCACAAACAGCAATAGCCCGAACAAAGTTCCTACACAAGGGATACCGAGCCAGCGGAAAGATTCTCGAAGCAGACATGCTCTACACGCTGAGCCTCTTCGCCATCGAACCAATCCGTTTTGTGAGACTATATGAGTGGCGCGAGATGACAGAGATGGAACGTTGCGCCATCGGTACATACTGGAAGAGTCTCGGCGATGCATTGGGTATCAGCTATGATGTCCTCCCCTCAGGTAAGAGTGGCTTCCAGGATGGCATCCATTGGCTGGAGGAGATAGGTGCTTGGAGCCAGCAATACGAGGCTCAGCATATGAAGCCTCATCCACGCAATAAGGAGATTGCAGATAAGACAATCGATGTGTTGGTATACAACCTACCTGGATTCATGAAGCCACTCGGCGAGTATTTCGTCTCATATCTCATGGATGAACGCTTGCGAAACGCAATGATGTATGCTTTTGCAGGGTTATTATATGGGAAAACATGACCTGATAACTATTATCTAGGATGAAACCACCTCCAGCCTTCTTTAGTCTCACTTTCGCGTCGATATTCAAGCTACGTCAACTATACCTGCGATATCTGGCTCTCCCACGCCCAAATTGCATGCGGTTGGACGTATTCGCTGAGAAGCCCAATAAACACGGCCGAAACTGGGTACTGATATATGAAGGCGCCCCGTTCTATGTACAGCCTACGATCTGGAATCGCTGGGGACCTGTGGCATGGTTCAAGTGGGCTCTTGGGCAGCCCTTGCCTGGTGATGATGGCGACAAGTATTATCCGCACGGTTATTATACTCCTGACCTGGGCCCGAAGTACTTTGAGGGAAAGGGAAGAAAGGAGCTGGAGGCTATTCAAGAGACTCTGCGTCAGGAGCGGACGGGGCAATGCCCGTTTCCATAATGTGTTATGGCCACGAGGACAAGGCTCTATTTGGTACATATTTTGGTAGAGTATCAAGTATCAGTATCAAGCATTCAGGTCAATTAGTTCTCATGTTGTTTAACTTCAACATCTCAGGCGTACATAGTAAGAGATCGCAATCGCAGAATATAAACACGCGCAGACAATAATTGCACATCGGGTATCTATCAAAGTAGCCAGCAACAACCGTTTAAGACGGGTGACATGGTCGGGTATATCTAACATTGACCATTTGGTGAAACAAATGAAGAAACCAAGCCGAAAGTCTCATTGTACAAGGTGCAAGGGTCAAAAGAATGAGAAGAGCCTGTATCAGATGAAGAAATGAAAGGACGAATTCAAGATGAAAAGGCATCAAAAGGGGTATTGTGCAATGGGTATGAACAAGCAATAAAAGAGCGGATCATCCCGCCAGGAGATGAAAGCAAACAAAAATATCATGTCGTCAGTTCAGGAGCAGATGGTGGAACAGGTGAATCAATAGACAGTGCAATAGATGGCTCATCAGAGAAACCAATAGGTGGGGTTTCAACAGGCGAAAATACACCGTCATATTCAGTGGAAGGACTTAGCAGGCCACGACCACTCTCGCCAACCTCACCCAACTCTTCAGGTGCGAGAACTCGGCCACCGAGTTCGACGTCTTGAACATGAACATTATACTCAAGGGCCCTTTGGCCTTCCTTGATCAACTCTTCTGTCCATCCCAGGCAGCGTTTCAGACTTTGATTCATCTTCTGGCTGTCCGCTAATAGTTCTTGGTGTCGTGCAAGGTCAAGCATGAATCGTTTCTCGTCTTGGGCACGGTGCTTAGCATCATGCTCGGCCAGCGAGCCCGGACTCGCAACACCATCATCCGCAAGAGAATCTTCGTCACTAATATCCGACATATCATCCTGTGATCGCATCGAAAGTTCGCTTGCATCTTCGTCCATTTCACTCGTTGCCGAAAGAGCTGCTCCTGAGAATGAGCGAGTTGATGGAGCCATTGAAATACGGCCCGAGCGACTCAGTCGGCGGAATCGGCGGAGCTCAGCATTTTGTTTGCGCATTTCTCGCTCGAGGGTGCGGTTAATGGCAAGTAATGAAGAATTGCTGATCTCCAAGTCCATGATCTTGCGCTCGGTGCGCGCATTCAGGGCGGCCTCGCTTGGGCCCTCTGATTTTCCAGGACTTAGAGGTGCTTGGGGATATGGTTCGTTCGAAACGGTAGACCCATTCATGGAGGAGCCATTGCTGAAGATTCGAGGGCGAAGAGTCGGGATCTGTTCTGACATCACGGGTGCCGACCCCTCGCTAAAATAGTTACCAGAAACAATAACTGGACTAGATCGTAAACTGTCGGATGGAAGAGCTTGGTGGCTCGAGTCGACACTAGATGATTTGGTGTGTCCTCCGATTGGTGGTCTATCGCTGATTGTGCTTGACGGGGAGCTGAAACGGTGCACTATCCCAAGGCCTTGATCGGCGTTTGGAGGGTATGAGGATTTCGTAGCATCTGGTGGCGGGGAGGTGGCATCTGAGAGCTTAGGTGAACTAAGGCGTGGTGAAGGGGAAGCTGCTTGTTTCGCGGTGGGCAAGGGCCGCGAGTAACCTCCAGATCGACGTCTTACAACAGACGATGTGGTACTCGACTGGTCTCCCAGTGACTGGCGTTCTTGATCTCCATTCGCGTAAACAAAGCTTGAAGCCGGGGACGCTTTCCCCTGAGGTCTTGTTGCAGGGGCTTCCACCTCGGAGGGATGTGATGAACGAGCGTCCGACGCATGAAAGAACAAGGGCGACCCCGATGCCATGTCGGAGAAGGAATTCGGACGTGAGATGGGCTGGTTTTCCGCCGACAGCGTGGGAGCCCTCAAGCTCCTTGATTGCGCCGGTTTGACCCCGCGAGCCGGGCTGCGGTCTGTTCGGCGGCCATAGCCGATTGTTGATTGGGAGTAAGGTGTATGCGGAGAAGGAGCAGAAGGTGTATTTGTTGGAGAGGCGTTGGTACCATCTCGACGAGTGGTTCGGGAACCTGATCGTGGAGTAACATTGGCACTCAGGAAGGTCGGAGGGACCGCGGGGGAGTCTTTGGAGGGGGTGGAATAGGGGTGATCGGGTTGAGCGAGGCGGCGACCTGCAGGGAATCCAGGCCCCGGGCTTGGACTTGCAAGCTTCGGTGTCAAAGGCGTCTTATTCCGGTGAAAAGCAGCGCTGAGGGTGGGCGTGAACGGTTTGGCGAGATTGCCATTGTTTTGTTTATCGAAGGTCATAGTTGCGGGGAGTGCTGGGTCTGTTATGGCATTGCGAGCCACAGAGCATCAGCATGGTGCCACATTCAACAATCAAGCACCAGGATATTGAGATCTTCAGATATTCCGGTGGCCTGATGGGAGAAGTCAAGTGAGAGAATCAAGTCACGAAAACATTCCCGCCCGATCGGGTTTAGGGTGGCGCTTCACCGCAACGTGGAATTCCTTACTTCCGACTATTGAAGTGGTGATATTGTGATGTCTCGATTCTATATGCCTTGCTATAAAGGGTGCTATTATTGTTATGGATTGCTAGATGTATTCGTCGTGTCCCTCGCACTTGGGCAACCCGTTTGCGTCTCTATTCCGACTCTAGTGCCTGTCAAGTGGAGACTGGAAACACGGTGAGTGTTATTGATGAAAATCATTGCTAAGGGGGCACTAAGTTGTTAGACTGACACTAGCAAAACGTCAGGGCCATGTGAAGTGAAGGATATTCAATCCAAGGGTTTTATTGTACAAGTTAAGATCGCATCGGCTCACTGGAAGTAAAGTCGCTTCTGTTTTGGGTCTGTCTCAGGGGGACTAGACTGCGGTGTCTTCCTTTTCCGACTACCTGGGGGTATCGAGGGTGCTGTTTCTTCTGTAGTGTCCTGCACTACTTCACGTATTGTCTGTCTGGAGAGACAGAAATCCATATGCTCGTTGAAGGTGCGATCATCAGCAATCTGGGGTCGAGCACAGATTGGACAGTCCCACATTGGAGGTGGCTCAACAGTTTCGGACGTAGATTGCTCTGGGACCGCAGATTCCTTTGTCTCACGGGCCACAGGAACAGACGGGGTCTCTTGACTAAGGGTTTCCAAGTCATTCATTTCGTCTTGGATCTCCTGGCGAGCGGCTGATTCAAAGGCCTCTTCGGCATCAATCTCGTGGTCTGCCTTTTCTGTGGGTGTAGAGGCGGAGGTGGGTTCTGTAGTGGGTTTGGGCTGCGTAACCACGCCGAAGAAATTGATCCCTACTTTCTGGGTGCTGACCAGGTTTGAGCAGCGCAAGCCAAGAAGCCGGAGCTTCATTCCCGGAATGTCTCTTTCAAGCTTCGCTAACATGGGTAGAGCAAATGTATACAGGTCTTTTGCGATACACACCGGACGAGATGGCGCTGTCTGGCGGGTTAGCACTTCGAAAGTATGGAGTTTCACTTTCAGGGCGAGCGTGCGGCCTTTGAATTGAGTCCGCGTGAGGTCCTTTTCAAGCTCCTGCGCAGCCCACCAGAGCTTTGCTCGAAGTTCCTCTTTGTCTCCAATTTCGTGGAACGTAGTCTCTGTGCTGACGCTTTTGCGTTCATGGGTCTCCACCGGCTCAATCTTGGTGCGCCCTAGGCCGAGGTAGCATTGTGCCAAAAATTGGAAAGCCTTTTCTCCAAATAGCTTGGTCAACAAAGCACGGTGTGGGTAGATATCTCCACACGTCTTAACGCCGATGGATTCCAACTCTCGCTCGAATACTCGGCCAACACCATTGACTTTGCGTACTGGGAGATTCCGCATGAATTCCATAATTGCTTGACGCTCGTTCGGAACCTGAAATTGACCATTCGGTTTGTTAATATTCGAAGAAACCTTGGCGATTTTCGCATTGGCAGCGATTCCAGCGGAAACAGACACCTTGGTGGTCTCCAGGATCTGTGCACGCATCCTCCGGACAGCTTCTTCTGGCTCCAGCTGATTTTCATCACAGAATGCAGTGATATTCAAATAGGCTTCGTCGATACTTGCACTTTCAAAAAGAGGATCGTACTCGGCCAAGATTGCGCGGATTTCCTTGGCTTTTGCGGTGTATTTCTCATAGTTTTGAGGCAAGAGAACAAGCTGTGGACACAACTTCTTCGCAACGAACGAAGCCATGCCACTGCGGACACCAAACTTTCTTGCTAAGTAGTTGCAAGTCGTCAGAACGCCCTTGCCAACTGCCATAGGTACCGTCTTCAACTCCGGTTGGTCAAGCTCTTCAACGGCGGCGAAAAACGCGTCACAGTCGACATGAATGATATGTTGAGAGAGATCGCGACTCAACTCCAACTCGGCCAGGTATTCATCTGCGCGTCGTAACTCATGGCTCAGGTCTAGTCGTTCTAACCGTGCCTTTTCTTTCAGAATTCGCTCAATCTTAAGCGTGAGATTTCGATCACGGTCTTGTTCGTGATTGAAGAATTTAGAGCCCTTGGAAGCATTGTAGATGATTTCCGACACCTGGGATCGAGTTCAGTGGTCAGTCAATAGACTTAGATCCAGTAAGCAGGGTACCTTTTGCTGATCGACCGAGTCCTGACCCGCTTTCGTTAGAGACGGGCCAAGCAGTTGATATTTCAGAGTGCCATAATCCTCTGACTCAGGCTCACTGGCAGGCTTTTCGCCCGAGCAGTCCATGGTTGAAGTACATGTATTCAATGGCTTGACGGTGACGAGGCGCAGGATGGAAACGCCAAGTCACGTGCCCACGCGTTTCAATCTCACGTGCGCCGCCTGAGCTCCTCCATTTCCCGAAATGCGACATGTGGGCTCAACATGTGGATTCTTGATTCGAGCGGTGACTTTCTGGGAGGTGAGTTTGGTGATCTGTTGACTGTGCGGTTGCTGATAATGTCCAGGGAAGCGCGTATGGCTGCGCCCCGGAAAGAAATATTTATTCGGTCGATTCCAACGAGACGGAGGTATGGCCGACATCAATGTGATCGAAGATCAGACACTGACTCTTGGATAGTCCGCCATGCCGTCAATCACAACTCGATATCTCGCAAGCATATGACCATCGAGATTGCTGCCGTCAAGCCGAAGGATGGAGTACGCTTACCACTCGATACTCTGGGTTCTGTTGCTGACGGGAGGTAGATGTCACCACGTGCACGATCCGATATCACCATAACCGACCTGCAGTCCAAGAAGGGAACGATTGTCGATAATAAGAGGATCGAAGGCGAATGCAAACTGGAAAAGGCCGATGAGCACATCATCCAACTGGCCAAGTACCAGCACACGCTTCGGTATGTGATGTCTGACTGAAGCGTACGATGATGGCTGACAAGATTCTGTAGAATCAAATGGGAGCCAGTGGTATTCAGTTTCTCGTTCTCCTCCAGAGAGATGCGAGCGAGTGATCCTCTGGTCCATGTTCGTTCACGCTTAGAAGACCTCGATATCAAGACCGTCATCGATTACCTCGTCGGCCACACAACTCATGTGGTACAGAGTAAACGGAACACTGCCAAGGGTCTCCAAGCTCTTGTGAATGGAAAGTACATTGTTAATGATTCATACATCGATGCTGTCGTCTACGCCGCTACCCCCAGCGATCTCGAGAACCTAGAGTCTCTCTGTCCTCTCGAGATCGATTTCGAATCATCGTGGCCAGATCCAACCGAGCACCTGCCACCCGCCGGCAAAGAGCCTGTCAACCGACCTGCTACCGCTTTCGCTCCGAATCCCGCACGTCTCACTGTCTTCGAGGGCTACACATTCGTTTTTGGTGATCGATCGCAGTTCGACAATCTCCAGGCGCCAATCAACAATGCCCAAGGCAAAGCTCTCCTCTACGAGGTAGAAACTGGAGTGACAACGGCAGCAGAGATTGTGCGATTTATGGAAAAGTCAGCACGAGGAAATGGCGTGGGTAGCGAGCGTCGAGGCTCCGGTGGTGTCGTTCTCGTTCGATTCCGATCACCAGGCGAGCATGAGTCCTGGTCGATTGAAATTGGAAACGAGGTAGCTTTGATGACAGATCAACGCGTTATCGAGCAACGAGAGTTCCTCGATGCCATCCTCAGTAACGATGCCTCCCCCCTCTGCCGTTCCTTGCCTACAGAGGAAGCGTCGAGCCAGATTTCTGCACCTACTGCCCAAGAGGCTGGCCTGCCGAGTGAGCAAGAGGTGGCCAATACTTCATCGGTCTCACCACCTGAGCCTGAGCCTAGCCAGCCTAGTCAACCATCAAGATCTCGGGGTAGAACTCCCCGCGTACGCCCCTATGTCAGCAAAATGAAGACATTTGATGATGGATTTGACATGGAATCCATTCCAAAGTATGCACCTGCGGAGGAAGATGAAGACGCCGGCACTCAAGTCATGGATGTGGACTCTCAAGAACCGGAGCAGCAAACTCACCCCCTGGACACCGTGAAGGAAGAAGCTGAAGAAGACTCGGTCTCCGACCTTCTCCCTGGGGCCCGTGCAATGAAGCGTCGTCGTGCGGAGATGACCCACAATCGGACAGAAGATCAAACAGCCGTCGAAACGGAAGCCCCCAAACGGAAGCGTCCCAAGCTCGATCTATTAGAAGCTGCCCGAAAGCACCTCGCAGAAGAGGAGCAACAGCGCAAGGCCGCAGAGGATTCACGCCCAGCCGAGATGGGCGACGTGGACGTCGATCAGTTGAAGAACCTCGCCATTATCGAAGAAATGGACGTTCCTGTCCGGACACCACCCACACGAGCAGAAGAGACGACTGACCGCTGGGAAGCGCAATGGAACGGACGCAAGAATTTCAAGAAATTCCGCCGAAAGGGCGAGCCCCGTAGTCGCACTGTGCAGACGGTCATCGTTCCCCTTGAGGAAGTGACGCGCAAAGAGTTTGGGATCGGCGATCACTACTGGAGCCGCAATTCCCCTGAGCACCGAACCGAGCCAGATCGGTCTGGCGAAAGTCCGCGTGAGGCTCCACCGTCCGAGCTATTGGCCCCTGCACACGCATCGCCTGGAGCCACCCCAGATCCCACCCCTCGGCGAAAGAGAGCTCGTGCGGATGACTCGGACAGTGGTGATGGACTTCGATTCCGGTTCAGGCGCAAGCGATAGGATTTATTTTGCATTTGTAGCGTATTTTGTTCTGCATCGATACCCTCTATTTCTCTGTACTTCCAAGGTTGTATATGCTATGTGGATCTAGTCGACGTAGTATTCTACTAGTGAATCTACTAAGGTAATAAACTATGTTTATTTCCTCAAATAGCTGACAGTAATATAATTTCCAACAATAATCCATCCATGCAGATGGCGTTTGATATAATCTTCAAGTTTCAGTTGATTCATGTAGAGTGCAAGTATAAATAGTCAACATTGGTCTCGACCCCCTCCTCCTCCTCTTTCCCGTCTTTCTTTATTTCTCTCTCTCTCTCTCTCTCTTTTTCTTTTTCTTCGACTTCTCCTCGCCTTTCTTTATCTCTTTGATTTTCCGTCTCGGCTTTATCTCCCCCTCCCCCTCTTGTCCTCTCGTCCCGACGCGCCTCATTTAGCGCCCAACCGCCTGATCGTCACCCCTCATCATTTATCAACTCCCCGTGTCTGTGTGTCTGGGACCCGTTTGTACTCTTGAGACATCACTCGGTGCTGTACGGTTCCGATTTCAGCTTCAGCTGGCATCATACCACCGCAATCAGTGGGTATATGCGTCGTCCGACATGACCTGTTTGTTTGCTGATGTGAGAAAATTTGGCTAGAGCTTCATCTACTCAAAAAGAATACCGGCTCGCGAATCCCAACTTGAACCTCCCCAGATATCTCTTTGTCGCCATGATCTCCGCCCCGCCCCGGCCGGTGTCGGTCAATTCGCTTGCCAGAGCTCCAGCACAGTTACCCCTTCCAAACAAGTCAGCCCGCAGCACAAGCGCAGAGATCCCATTTCGAGACAGTCACTCACTTCCTGTCGTTGAGATTGATACTTGTGTCCCCGCACCGGTCCCCACTTCGTCCGGGCTCGGCAGAGACGAGACCCAGTTTGCGAATCTGCCTATCGAAATTCATGAGAATATTCTGGATCACATCTTCGGTGAGAGAGCGGCTGCTTCCGCAAATACCAAGTCTTCCGCGCAGAACTGGAGCAAGGCTTTTCGTCATCCGCGGCGCAAGGCGCTCTCCAATCTCGCTTTGATCTGCCGGGTGTGGACTCCACTCGTCCAGAGCCGCATTTACAGACACAGTATGTGACGACCGAGCAGGGCCAGGCATTGTACTGACTGAATTCTACTTTAGTCAAGGTCAAAGGAACCCAAGATGGCTTGGCCGAATGCGCACGATGGTTCATGACGAGTCCACATCTCATCCTCCACGTCCGTCATATTGAGGTTTGGATTCCAGTCTGGGGTGACCGAGTCCATCGTCCCCTTGTTACTCGTCCTGCTGTCGAGCCTGCTCCATGGGGAGATACCCTCGTACAGGGGATGATGGACTGGTGGACTCAGCCTGACACTCAAAGTACAAACGAAATCCACTATCACATCGCATCTCGGACTGCTACCCTGGAAGAAATCTTTGAGCTTGCCCAGGGATTCTTCACCGCTGCCCGCGTCCTCACGCTCGAGGGAGGCCACTGTAAAAACCCGCCCATGGTCCAGCATTTCAGAGGTCTTCCCGGCCGGTCGACTTCATTTTTCAGCTTCCGGCGTCTTCCCGTGCTCAACAACATCGAAACTCTCGTTATGCGCGGCGCCTGGAATCTGATGCGCGATTTCGAAGACTGGCATCACATTTCACGGGCGCTTCCGGCGTTGCGGGAATGGCATTGTTCTTATGCCCAACCCCAGCCCAATGCCTACCTCACCATGATGCACATCTTGATTCGTCCGCCAGCTACAATTCGACATCTTAATCTGACCCTAGAGGGCTTTTACAACAACAAAGACGCTGCGCAGATCTCGTTCCTCACTCCTCGAACCGTGCTTCCGCCAATCTGCACGTTACTTGGCCAGTCGGCTCCGCACCTCGAGTCTCTTTCATTCACAGGAAGAATCTGCGTGTGCTTCTTCGATGCCATGAAAACCGAATTGGAGAAGATGACATCGACTCCCCGTCTGAAGTCCCTAGACATTGTAGTCAAGTCATGTTGTCGTGATGAGCCAGCCAACAAGGACGATGTCATAATGCCCCCAAGCCAAGAATTGTCCGGGATCAACAACATGAATTTCATCTACATCTTCGAATCAATTATCATCGGAGCAGTCGAGGGTCTAGCCAGCATGCCGCATTTCGACTACATTCGGATCCGCTACATCGACCTGGACTCGGCCTGTCCCCTACTCAACCCCTACTTCCAACTCTCCAACAATAAATGCACCGGTCTATGGAACCAGGACATCCTAACCGCTCTCCAGATCAGCCGCCCCAATGCCCACTACGTCGAACTCGCAGACGGCATCTACCCTCAATATGGAAAAAACAACCACATCGTCGGAGCCATCTACCCTCGAACTCGACCGCAAAGCATCAATGCAGCCATGTACAAAATAATTGCCGACGTGAACAAGTTCTAAGCCCGGGATTTCTCTAATCGATTTGCAGCGTTCTGAGTGGTTTTAATATTGCGTCCTGACATTTAGCCAAATACCCCATCTTCCTTGTTTTTCATTTCTTATATCATGTGTCTATCTGTGTTGTCACTTAACATGCTAAAAAATACCTATCTGGTTGCGATTCTTTCTTTTGTGCGATTAGGGATTCCCTTCGGAAGCTCGGTGCTGCACGTTTTCGGGTCTCTCGACCCTGTGATTCAAGTTTGTCCGAATGAGATCGATCTTATCTGATCAGACTGATTGTGGGAACATGTGACAGTGCGATCAGGTTACGGTGACAGAATACGATACGTCGCTCCAAGCAGTCACCACGGAATCCGGACTGTTACGGGTCTGGGTGTTCACATGTTTGATTGAGTATCATGTTCCCTGTGATCCGGGCACGCAAGGACTAAATAATGTACTGAGTTCAATTGCACTTTGTCTAATCTTATAATACATGTGGTAAATAGCGGCCTCGCTATTAACGTAGTTTACGGTCTTCGCTTTCACTCTCAATCTCACCTGCACCATCTCCCCCGTCTCGGACGATGATACCCAAGATCCAGACATTCACAGCAAAGAAGAACAGCCCTGCGAGGAACAGTCCAGGCACGAATGAGGGGAGACCTAGGAATTCAAGGTTGTACCCTTGCGATAGCCAGAGAGCCTATATGTCACGTTAGAAGGTGATCATAGAGGCGAGAATAAGTGATAACCTACCTGCCCAATGACCCATAGTAGAGCAGCTGAGATACCCAGGGTTGGCCTGCGGACAAGCGAGGAAGAAGGGAGGTAGAATGGTAGCAGAATGAGGTACCAAAGGAAATACTAGACAAGTCAGCAGCCATTCGAATCATCTTTGGGATGCAACTTACTTGGCTAGTACACACTTTGTTGAAAGTAACAAATGTGAAAGTCTGCGCAAGCATCGCAGTAGTCAAGCTCTTCTTTGCCAAGACAAGCGGCAGGGCAATGACCACAAGGACCAGCTGTGGGAGGAATGCCAAGGCCTCAAAGTGAGTCTCCGCTCCACCCGCTGCAGACAGGTATAGCAAGGTGCTATAGGGAGAGAAGTTGTGGCGGTGGTCGATGCGAGTCAGATGGTGGAAGAAAGTATGCTGCAGAAATGGCGTGCCATACTGAAGATACATGACCAAGTTCAAGGCCACAAAGCTCACCAGTGCCGCAAGCGTGAGCTTCACACGAGACGGCGTGATGAATCCAATAATCCGCGCTACGAGACCTGACCCGGCAGATGACCCGGCAGACTGAGCCCCGTCGCGCTCAGCATCCCACCACCACAATATGGAAACACCATAGATGAAAGGATAAATCTTGAAATGAACAGCAAGGCCCAAGATCAGACCGGCCACAACGGGCTTCCTCGTCAAAGTCGCCCAAAGCAACGCAGCAACAAGCACACCAAGCAACCCCTCAGAGCTACCACGCGTACTGATATTGGCAACCATAGGATTCCACAACCAAACAGCAGCAACATAACGCAGCGCCCTCTCAACAGGGAAGCGGAAGCGGCGAACAAGCAATTGAACAACAAGCCACCCAGCCAGAACATCCGACAAAGCAAAAAGCGCCTTACCAAAGGCAAAAGTCAACGTGGACCAAGGCGCAGGACCCTCCCACGCCGTAGGAACAAGCATCCACGCCAAGAGCGGCGTATAGCGGTACGTGTCACGAGCATAAGGCGACTGGCCCTTTGAAACATAGCGCGCAGCATCAGTGAAAACCATGTAATCGATGTCGGTGTACTTCACGGCGGAATGGGCATCCTGCCAACCACCGTAGACGAGGAGGATGAGGCGAAGAGCCGTGGCGGCGAGGAAGACCCGCGTTGGCGAGCTGAATAGAGACATTCTCTCTCTCTTTTCTTGCTTTAAGTGTTGAATTTTCAAGATATTAAGAATCGCTAGATTGGTTGGTGCGGGTAGCGCGCATCATTAGGTGGCTTTTGACCCCCTTAGCAGATATTGTGGCTGGATTGACGAGCTGGGCAACCACCCCCGTTTCCTCCTGTGTGATATCTGTGGTGACTGTACTTGATGAATGGATCAATGTCACTCAATACCAATCCGATCAGCGCATGTTGTTTACGTGGAATCGATGAAGCTATTTTCCGCGACGAGCTGAGTCAGGATGGTCCGTGCATGGTTGACCCCGGATTTCCTTGAGCGAGGTATAGCTTTACTTCTGCTCATTTTTTCGAATGGGCTGCTTCTGATAATCAGACAATTATCGATGTCATTTTTCCTTGCTTATTGGCTGGTTCATAAGGGAATCAAAAGATAAGCAGATGAGAAACAAATAGGGGCTCTAACGTACCCGATCTCGAGGCTCTCTTAGTATACCTCATTATAAACGGTGAAGCATGAAGCACAAAGCGTGAATTATACAGTGCGAATACACTATTTATCAGGGTTTTGTGGGGCGTAGTCATCGATGTAATATCTCTCATACTTCCTACTCCCAGCGCTGTGGTATCAGGAACCACCAGCGAGGCTCTTCGGACTCAGATGCTAAATCTGCAAGACGGTAAGACATTGCTACAAAGGAAAACAGCTTGCGCATCGACCGGAATGTGCACCAATTGAGTCCAACCTCCACCGATCGTCAAACTTTGTATGAATGCGGGGGAAGCGCCCCATTCTTGGAACTGCGGGGATTGGATCAATTTGACGTCTGCAATATAAATTACTCCGTACATCTAACTGCACGATGTGATGTCAGGGCTCTCAATCAGCCACACAGAGATGGTGGTTACTTGCAGGTTCTCCAAGCGAGCCAGTCAGATTCTTGTCCTTTGGAACTGCTGCAGGTGATACGCCATTGAGGGGTCGCTTGCACTCGGAGTTCCTGAGACACAATCTAGGGGCTTTATCTCATCTGCTTTATATTTCGATAGACCGAGAAGGAGTTCATGTGAAAGGTAGACCGTCCGAGTGTCGTCGGGTTATGTTTACATCCCGGGCCACGGCAGCCGTTGAGGTCTTGCTATATTGTTGAATCTGTAGTCTGGGGCATACGGATATGTGTCTACCTTCTGAGAGACTACCAAACAAGAGGAATGAATAGAGTCTATGGTATATATCTCGACAATTCACTGTTTATCAAGTCATCTCTTTCGAGACCAAATTTGGGAGGTATATTACTTTCACATTGTAAGCTGATAAGTACCTCCGAGGCACCGAGGGAGCAAGAAGAACAAGACCTCGACTCACAGCCTGTGCAGGCGCTAATGTAGACGTGAGCACACACCCTAGCCAAGCCCGTACACAACTGGGGCCTGCATTAGACCTCTCGCGTAAGATAGACTGCCCCTTTTGAAATTTGGTTGCCCAGACTGGGACCTCTGGTTCTGATAGGTCCTCCAGCAGGTGATAAGTCTTGTTTCTGTTGCAAAAGCAACATGAACTAGCCATTTATCTAATACAAACTGGCCTAGTTCCAAGGAGAATACATATCTTACAGGCAAAGGTAGGGTAGCCCTGAGATGCTCACCAAGTATGTAATATACCTGGACCGTGACGGGTGATCCCCCGCAGAAAGCAAGAGAGTGCCCACCAAGTTATAAACCTAATTGTCTCCTGGTCCTCGGTAATTTTCATAGACATATGATATCTGTATAGAGCTAGCGTTCGTTTATATAGAGAGCTTTCTTCACATTCCTCTGGCCAATTCACGTGGACCTTCGTCATGGCCAAAGAGGAGGACAAGTATATCATTGGAGGCAATCGGGGCCTCCTTCACCCAGGTCCCGATGACCTTGCAAAGCTCGAACAGATTGAGTCGTCAACGAGGTCAGCTACCAGGAAGGACAAATTCCGTCGACATTGCAGACGGTTCTGGCTTTGCTACTTTATCGGCAATGTCATCTTTTTAGCTATTTTCTTGCCTGTTTTGTATGTGCCCTTTCTCTCGTCCTTAGATTCAGGCTAACAAACCAATGAAGCTTCCTAGTTGCTATTCCAGCCGTTGCCCAACTTGTTGTCAACAAATCCAACCTTGTGGTGGTCAATGCAGAGGTGATGCGACCAACACCAGACACGGTACAGATGACTCTAGCAGCAAAGGTGGACTTGAAGATTGCACTTGGTGTTCGCATAGAGCCCGTCAAATTCTATACATTTGTTCGTAAATACGGCCACGAGAACGCTTGGGGAGCAATTGATATCCCTGGCCAAACGATCAAGGGGAACTATACTTTGGGAGTCAACAACCAACATACACCAATCCTTAACTCGACTACCTGGCAGGCCTTTGTCCATGATACAGTATTCAAAAAGGAGACAATCTTGTCACTTTATGGTGTCACATATGGATATTTGGGGGTCTTGAAAAATCACATCACTATGGACAAAGACGTAGTTATACCATGTGAGTCTTTCAGTGTCTACTTTTGCTCATTACTAGGCTAATAAATTTCAATAGCTTTAAACAAATTTGAGGGGTTCTCTATTGCCGATAGTACACTCATCCTACCAGCACAAGACGACGGAACCAATCTGATCGCCAACCTGACTCTCCCAAATCCAACCGCCCTCTCCTTCGAAGTCGGCACCATCACACTCGATCTCAAAAGCGGAGATACAGACCTCATCATCGGCAATGCAACTGTCGACAATGTGACCCTCCGACCCGGAAACAACACATTCCCACTCAAAGGCGTCCTCGACCTCAAAACAGTAATATCAAACCTAACAGAAGTGATCAGTTCCCAAAGCTCATCACTCATGAACGGAAACCTAGCCCTAACAGCAATGACGCGAACCATCGTCTCAAACGGCACACTAATTCCATACTACACCAACGTCCTCAGCCAGCTACCCCTAGTAGCAAACGTGGGAATCGGCGACGTCCTCAAAAACACACTGGCCTACCTAGGCTCCAACGACAATCTGAACCTGACCGGTCCGCTTTCAGGCATCACCGACAATATTCGGAGGCGCGCACTGGATGGGCCGGTTGGCAACGGTAACGCTGTTAACCGGATTGCAAGTCTGAAACAGAATAAGCATGTTCAGAAGGTCTTTGAGGATGAGGATGATGATAAGCGAGACGCGATGATAGATTCTTTGGCGAGATATTATGCTTCTTTATAAGATTATTTTGTTTGGAGTTCACTTGATGATACCTTTATAGCTTGGCCAATGATTGGATTTGATATTATGACTGTTGGCGAGATTATTTTCTCATAGGACTATCAGAGCTTATTTTATAAGCGAGTATCTTCATGGCTGTTCACTGGCCGTGAAGTTGGCTGTGGAGAATAGATCAACACTCAAGCATCCAATACAATAATGGACAAGTGGTAGGACCCCTTGTCTGTGTCGATCACCTTTGATACACGTATAAATGATCGACTTCAACTGCAATCCCCGCATCTCCGAAGAACCGGTTTCGTGATGAAAATCCTTGGACTAAGTGTGTCAGACAAATTAGGCTGTAAAGTATACGTCAGTTGGTTATGCAGGTCGCAGTCATGGTCAGGGGTATCGGAATATTTCTCGATATGAATAGAACTAATGCAAAGACGGTAAGCTGACTGCATACTGTAAGTGTTGAATAATTACATAGAACTTGATTCCCTTCATTTCCAATGCGCCTTGTTCTAACATGCAAATAGAGTAAATCAAAACCAAAGTGGGAATTCTCAGTAGTAAAGGCCCTGATTTACAAGATACCCAGGATCAGGCATGGGATCGAAATACGGCTGTTCTCCGTACTTTGGTCCTTTTTCATGTTCGGGCGTCAGCAACATGGCATCATTGCGCCCATCGATGTCCGCGGCAATCTCTGGCCACAGATTATTGTCACTCCAGCTCAAATACTCCCATAGATACTGACCCCCGGAGTCGTTTTCAAAGGGGGTACTAAGCGGGTCGAGGAAACCGCTGTCAGTCATAGGCATAGTAGTACGAGCAGGCTCAGATGGCGAGAACATAGCCGACATATCCCGACCAGCGGGAAAAGAGCCACTGAGAATACCAGCAGAAGTGTTTGGATCAGCAAGGCCCTGTCCACGCTTACTCGCTTCGTATATTCGTGAGATGGCGTCCAGCGACCTCTTCGCCGTATGTCCAAACGACTGCATGCGAGCAAGAGTCATCATAGCAGTCTCAACCTGCGCCTGGCAGGACTCAACAGAAGCACGCGGGTCATCGACAGTAGGGTCATTAAGGAACAGTCCGACCAGCGGAACCATGGAAGCCTGGAAAGTCCACCAGACAGCATTCCAACCACAAAGCTGGTTCAGCTGAGCGGTGGCTGCGATATTCTGAATAGATTGCTGCGCCACCTGGCGACATTTCTCGATGGCTGTGCGCTCCTCCAGCCGCAGGGCTATATATGGCACGCGCCGCATAGCATAGCTGAACAGTGTTGGTCGGTAGAGTAGTATGCGCTGATTATAGTACCGCCACCGCATGACAGTGCGAACAGTGTTGATGGATTCGGAACATGGCTCGTGATCTTTGAGGATGGCGGGGAGGTTATCCCACCAATCAAGAAGTTGGGCGTCCGCGTGAGCCATTTCTTGGTGTTTGACTAGTGGTGCAGCGGCCAGGGATTCTTGAACTTGAGTTGCGATCTTGGCGAATCGGATGTTTTCGACGAGGGGGAGAATGCCAAGGACGTTTTCCTATCCAGTGTGGTTAGCATAGTACACCCTTGTCAAGGGAAGTATATTACCTTGTCTCGGCAGTGCGGAGGTTTGACAGTGATGGTTGAACCGTATCGACCCATACTAGGCCGGCCCAGTGTCATGCAAGCCCATGTATCCATGCAGAAGAGAGACCACCAGACGCGGCGCTTCAAATCCATTGAAGCGATTTTGGCTGGGCTTGGAATTTGACGAGTC